TCAGTCTTCGCTTGAATGCACATAGACTAGTCAACGCCCGAATATCAATTGGCAAATTATTCCAAAGAGAGCTATACCTAGAAGCAAAAAATAGAGATCGTTTAGAAGTGCATCGTGTTCTTCCACTTGATAACATTCTCCTGCAGAGATGGTATTTCCTTGACGACGGGTATACAGTACGCGTGCACATCAGATAAGTTTCCATTACTACAGTATGCACTAGTAAGAAAAACATTGCTCAAGAATGGTCGAAATATTCTTCCTGAAATCGGCCACATGTCATTCTTCGTCTTTCGATAAATCGGTAAACCGCCAATCGCCAGTTGAAGAGATACATCGGGCATATAAACACTTCTCTTCATAAGTAGGCTACGAAAGTGCCTTTCCAACCCAACGTGAACGTTCTCCCCGCTATACATTTACAATACCTGCAAGTCATACAATGTCATGCAAAATTCGTGGATCTGCCGGGATTTAGGGACCAATGAGCGAAATATATTCATAACTTACCGCAAGTGAGCGGCGGATATTGTGCATCGCATGGCCCAGTCTCGCATATTTTCGAACTTTCACTCACTACAAGCCTGTCAATTTCGGCTTGGTTCGGTTCAGATACATTTTCGACAGTCTCAGTGTGCTCCGGTTTATATGAATCGAATTCGATGTCTTCCGAAACATCCTGCAAAAGTGTAATTCCCTGCTTCTTCAGCTGGCTATCCACACATCAAGTTCTTAGTTTCTGCCATAATTATAGGGGGAATTTTCTTGTCATCGCCTTCCGTCCAACTCCTGCTCTATTTTACGCATAATCACGTTCCCATGGCACTTAATTCAACGTCTTCTCGTTCTCTCCGTCCCTGCCTAAAGATTTTTGCAAATAAATAGCAAAGACAATCAGATATTGAACAATAGCAAACGATAAAGCCAGCTGCCTCAGTTCTTTAGCTGCGCGCTCGTGTCACAGTATAGTAGCACGCACGTGCGTTAGCGCGCGCAAAAATTTTGCTGCGCGCTTAAACAGCGGCAACCAACGCACAGATGATGTCAGCAACATAACTAACCAATTTTCCAAACCTGAAGTAGCGATTCAACGCTATTTTCGATATCGCCTCGATAGTGTCCGGCTACTAGGGTAAATAATCAGTCCTACTTGCATACGAACGTCATTCGTAAATTTCGCAATAAATTTACATTAAAAGCCGAGAAATCTTTGCCAAGGCACTTGTTCCAATTGCGCTTCAAGTGACAGTAAAAAGGGCATTGCATAATGACCCTGAATACACCCTTATCGTTGAGGAATAAAAGCGTGCATTCATTTATAGAAATGTTTGTAACGGAGGTTGGGTAACAGGATTGTATACAAATTTGTGCTGACCACCTCCACGGTTTTTTGATTATTTTGCAATCTTGGTGTACAGTCGATATCATAAAGGACCACCGAATTCTATTTTTTGACAAAATACTGCAATGTCGAAATACTAAATTCGTATCCCAAGCACCTTCCCTTTGCACTTTTCACTTATTTTGTTGGCCGTTTGCAAAATTTACTTTTAATTGTCTGTTCAGTTATGAGATCAAAACGCTCCCGACTGTGTATTTTGGATGGAGTCTCTGGCCACAACCTTAGTAACCGCGTTATGCGTAAGAGGTTGCTATACGTATATTTTCCCTTTTCCCCCTTTCTGCTATATCCTTTCGTAATCGGTAAAAACTTGATTTGATTAAGTTATACTGTCACTTAATGGTATGGCTTCATAAAATGCGGACAAAAATCTAGAATTAGATAGGTTTCTACATCTCTGTGTAAGTCAGTGCGTCGATTTCTCATGAATTTGTTTACATCGGTGTATTTACGTGGCGCCAGGCTTACTTTTGGTTTGGTGCGGCAGCTGTCTGTTGTGCACCTGAAGCCGTATAAATGGTCAAGGACCGCTTAGCCGAATTGAAAGTGGTACTGTTTTTTATGTTTTCGAATAATAAGAGATACACTGCAGCAAATAGAACGGTTGAAACATCGGATAAACCAGAGAACGCGGAGGTTGTCACAGCCTTTTTGTTGAAGGTCAGTTAACTGTTTTCAGCCCATTCGCTAATTTTCAGGTCGATGACATTAACCGTTCGATAGATGAAATCGAAAGTAATATTCAAAATGTGAAGGCTAATCAGCTTCGAATCCTCTCGGCCCCTAGCGGTGACCAAAGTCAGTTTATTCGACGTGTCATTGCGTAGAAATTTAGAAGCCAATACAGATCTCGATAGGTTGATGCGAGAGGTGAAAACCTTGTCAGTCCGAACAAGGGCGGACCTCAAGTGTTTGTTGCTTTTGTTTCGTGCATTTGATTAGCCTTAGAAGAAGAAGTAAAGTCCGAAGCTCTCCTCGCGAACTCTGGCGTCGACCGAATGAAGTCACATCAGGTTAGTTCCCTTGATGGGATATCCAATTAATCGAAATAGTGTTCAGCCTTGCTCAAGAGATTTGTCAGCGTCATGAACACTTATAACGAATGTCAGCTTGAATATCGGGACAAATGCAAGGGCCGGATAAAGCTACAATTGCAAATAGCAGGGAAGCCGGTTTCCGACGACAAAGTCGAGGAAATGCTGGATTCTACGAATCCATCCGTCTTTACGGAAGCTGTTAGTGTGGAATTTTCGTCTTACTTTTGTAGTTAATGGAACAGACAGAAGCTGCTAAAAGGTCTCTGTTAGAAATCGAGGCCCGTCATGCAGACATTTTGAAGCTCGAACGTTCCATCGAAGAAATGCGCGACCTCTTCTCGGAAATAGCTTTGCTTGTTGATCAACAGGTAGGTTATTTTTGCAACTTATTACCTCCCTATTTAGTTTATACCAGAGTTGAAATTTGCTTTTCTTGCAAGTTTTCCGACAGTGGTTTTGACTCACTAGGATGGTAGATATTTTCGCCTCGGTTTACATTCGCAAAAGGCCCACGCGAACTCACCTTGAAATGTTGGAGATTGGTAGATATATTATTCTGTCCTCCCCCATTCTTGTCGGCAGTTCTCTGGACGATGTTTTCGGATGAATTCAAACATGGCTCGAAATAACCCCATGTGTTCCGCTCACGTGTCTCTGTCCTACTGGCACCGTTATTGTCGTAGTAGAGTCTTACTTTTTGGGCGTTTCGTCTACTAGTGTATACGGAGGACGCTTATGATATTATCTTATGTAATGCGTGTTACAGTTTTCTATTCAGTTTTCATTTTAGTTACTTGATTTTACGAAGACGCGTTCCCTCCTAATTGCGAAGAATGCCTCTACTTATCTTTTTTGTAACCGTCTTTCACCCGATACAGTTTAACTTAGCTTGACATGTCTGGCAGATTTTGAACCTTCACCGCAGTACTTCTGACTTGAACGTGTTACACTTACCTCTTAGCCGCTAAACTCACTAATCACTTTCATAAACGTACTTGTCAGGGCCATGCATATCGGACTGGCTCAAGCCTCCACTCATATATCCTAGTGCCTGACGGAAGAACTTCAAGGGATAGGTGAACGTGTCATCTTGGATTAACAGTCTCCCCAGTATAATTGGCGGTTTTTTTGCAAAGGTGTTAGAAATGGTAGATCTAGTTGCAAGTGCTAATGTATGGAAGTCTTCCGAAGTTCTCTCCACGTAGCTGGTTTGCGACCAAGCCTGTCAAAACCGAATCCCGAATGATATGCCTCGTTACAAATACTGCAGGAGACTATTGGTGTTCGAACATTCTCTTAGGAAGGTCAGCAAATCGCTTTGAAAATGCTATCATATAGATCAATCAGCGTCCGAACGATCATTCAGAACAAGGGTTTATTTAGCTGAAAAATACCCCTCACACAATGTGATTATGGTATCGCCACCTATCCATGAAATCAGTACTCAACGTAAAGACTAAAATTGGTGAACCTTTAAACAGTCAGTCGTACATTTCCTCGTTTGTATTTGCTCTAGAGAAGCCTTCCAATCTTTTATATGGTCGTATGAATTGAAAGTCAAACACCTCGATTTTCAGGAATTTAGAATCTTAGCGAAACAGGAGTATTCATGTACTACAATTTTGCTAACACACTTTCCATTACTTCAATTAACGTACCTTACAGACACGTATCTTTATTTTCGCGAATAAGGGGCAACGTTTATTCGAGCTGCCGCTGCGCAACGGAAAATATGTAGTCCTTAACACGATTAGAACGCCTTAAAGGATGGATTGGGGGTGCATTTTGTACCTTCAGTTCTTGTAAATCGAGGATTAGCAAACGCCTGACAGTTTTTATTTGATACTTTCTGTTCTTCAATTGTTTGAGATTTCTGTGAGCTAAATTCACAATTAGAGATCGCTCCCTTTAAAAGTATCCTCATAGTGTGTATTGTGCTCTTACATCAGATTTAAGTGTAATTATTTCATTCTTTATATATTTTGCTTCTCCCGTTTGCACACAGCAGCTGAAAATGCATTCCTTTTCCCCAATTTCCATCAGTAATGACTGTAAATTAAACAATTCTGCGTCAATGTCAATTCGAAACTTTGCTGCGCAACTCCACAAGCTACTCAGCTTGCTGGTTAGATGTCTTCGCCAACTTTCTGTCCTTTAGGGAGCATCCTTTTCTAAACGTCTTTTTTTCACCTAGCAATGCGGCTATGATCTTTAGGCAGTCCCACCTTCGGTGTTTTTAATGCGTTCCTCTGGGGACGTATCTGCGTTGTCATAAAAACCCGCACTAACCTAGTAAAATTTTAAAAAAAGGTGGCTCTCAAACCTGTGCTCCACGCGGCTACAAACATATTCGATATAAGATTTAAAAGGAAGCTTTTTTCACACACTTGTTAAAGCGCCTTTTGAACAAGAGTCCGGACAGTGTTGAGACGACAGTATGCCTTGTCTTTAGTATTGATTTTTACCTACACGCCGTCCGACTTTTTTATGCGCCAATAGACTCACATTGAGCAGTATCCGCCTCGACAGTGAATTCAAAAAGCGAGCAAGTATCGATTGCCGGAAGTACAGAAAATGAGTCGTTAAATGAATTTTTGGTCGATACACTCTGTCCAACTGTAGCCTGCCTTCGCTTTTTCCACCTTTTCACCGTGTTGACGCTTTTTGGACATGAAGACATAGAGATCTTTTAGAAAATGTTAAAAATTACCCTAACAGGCTCATTATTTCCCGGAAGTTTGAATCCATGCTACACATTTCATGTAAGTTATAGAAATCGTTATTGCATCTAAAAAAGCCACCCCTTGTCAGCCCGAGTGCGAGGATTAAGAACTGTTCGCATATATCATCCGATGCCGAAGGACAGCCACTAGGTCGTGACTTTCGAGTGCAGCATTTGCCGCGTATTTTAAAACCAGCATTCAGGATTGAGTTTAGCACTTAGGTTACGGGTTGCCTGTCTACAGAATGTAACCGGTTTTTCCGCGAGGCACTTGTAAGGATTCCACTTATCTTCTTGGCCAGGTAAAAAGGCGCAAAACTTTTTAAGAGGACAAGGTCGGCTTGCGAATTCTACGCTGGTTTTACTTGCAAGTATTATAGTCGTAATGTTCCACTGTTTTCCTTGTTCTTCAAATTTTTATCTGACGTCCTCTCTTTTTGCACAGGGTGATCTTATCGACAACATTGAGCACAATGTCGTCATCGCAGAAGACAGCGTAGTATTGGCCAGGAAGCAAGTACAAAGTGCGGTTAAATCACAGAAACGGAACATGAAGGTTTGCCTTTTTTTAGTGTCTCGCATTCCCAAAACCATACTTCACAAAATAATGTTACATGCACGCAAACAAGTCTGTTTCCAGGAGCCACGACAGATTATTTAAGCTCCCCGTTTTCTTATCAGGTAACTTAATTTAATATTTCGTCAGTGCAGTTTATTAAGTGCGGCAGGCAGTTCGGCTAGGTCGCTGTAAGGGCTACAACACATGCAATTTAATCTCTTCAGAAGAGATACCCCGGAGTGTTTGGGATAATTAACTATTCAACTCTTTTCGCTACCACCGCTGCCTTGTGGTTAGGCTATTTAGCCAAAGCACTAGAAGAGACAACCTCGAACAAACAGTCCGTACGGCTGTTGGGGACCCGCTCGTACCCAAAATTCCTAAGTCACCTCACGAAATATACAGTATGGCGAGTGCTGCAAGAAACATTCCGCAATTTGAAAAAGACCGGTAATCACTCGCAAACCAACATTGAGTAGGGTTGCAATACTGTTTATAATGCAGTCCAATTTAAATTATTTTCAGTCACGCTATAATGCCTTCTCTGTGATGAGCTTCTTTTTGACCGCCGCGAAAAAGTTGATTCTGTAAAAAATGGCTACTTAAATACAATGCAGTTTTAGCATGGATTTTGACTGCCTTTATAAATTCAGATATATTTTATGGAAGGCATCACGAAAAAATCCTCTCTTGCATTTATTTGATAGCAAATTACGCCTTCTTTAAATTTTATTCTTAAAGGAAGGGTTTTCTTAGGTTTTAAAATAAATTCTAATTTTGAGCTTTTTTACGACTGTGCGGTGTTCATTCATAATACATCGTATCCGTCAATTT